GACTGATGCCTTCTTTTTGAAGGTGTTATCGGTTTGAAGAGTTGTCCAGTCAAAGTATGACTGAAAGATAAAGAACTACAGTGGACCCTTGGTATCTGCTGAGGTTGGGTTCCAGGATTCCAAGTGGATACCAGAATCTCTGGATGCTCAAGTCCCATTATATACAAGAGTGTAGTAAAATTGTGTCCCTTATATAAATGTCACAATCAGGGTTTGCCTTTGGAAATATATTTGTTTGTTGTTGTTCATTCGTTCAGTCGTTTCCGACTCTTCATGACCAGCCCACGCCAGAGCTCCCTGTCGGCTGTCACCACCCCCAGCTCCTTCAAGGTCAATCCAGTCACTTCAAGGATGCCATCCATCCATCTTGCCCTTGGTCGGCCCCTCTTCCTTTTTCCTTCCATTTTCCCCAGCATAATTGTCTTCTCTAAACCTTCCTGTCTTCTCATGATGTGGCCAAAGTACTTCATCTTGGCCTCTACTATCCTTCCCTCCAATGAGCAGTATGGACTGGTTGGATCTTTTCACAGTCCAAGGCACTCTCAGAACTTTCCTCCAGTTGGAGGAAATATATTTGAGGAGGGGGTATATTTTCAAAATCCACAGCTTGATACCGGGAAGGGAGGGGCAACTATATAAGAAAGTATATCAGACACATGGAGCTTCCATCCAGTTACCACCAGTAGTGAGCAGAAAGGGAGATGGGATACAACTCTATTTATGTTTTAAAATCCTAATTTTGCATATCTCTAGCCAGTGGAGTACTGGGTCTAAAAATATTGGTTGCCAGGAGATAAAGAGGGTCCACCCACAACTATAAGTCTAAGTTTCATTGCACAGCTGCAACAGTAAAGGTCTGAGCCTTTATAACGTATGTGTAGGCCTCAGATAAGCAAATCAGAATATTTTTTTCAGATATAATATTCTTAAATATAACATATCCTTGAAAAAATCTTGTATTAAAATAGGAGTACAATGTAAATTTTAGTTTCACACAATAATAATATTGGAACTCCTATGATATTTCTAAGCTACTAAAATATCTTTACTGTTTTTAATATATTGTCTAATGTAAGGGGCCACGGTGGCACAGTGAGTTAAATTGCTAAGCTGCTGAACAGAAAGTTGGTAGTTCAAATTTGCAGGACGGGGTGAGCTCCTGTTGTTAGCCCCAGCTTCTGCCAACCTAGCAGTTCGAAAACATGCAAGCGTGGGTAAATCAATAGGTACTGCCCTAGCAGGAAGGTAATGGTGCTCCATGCAGTCATGTGACCACATGACCTTTGAGGCATATATGGTCAAAGCCAGCTCTTCAGCTTAGAAATGGAGATGAGCACCACCCCCAGAGTCGGACACAACTAGACTTAATGTCAAGAGGAAACCTTTACCTAATGTTTGGGGTGGGGGGGGGGCACCTGCCATTGAGTAAACCGACCAGTCAGCCACTTTCTCCATCATAAGGAATGTTATGCAATTTATAAATGCCCTCTCTGTTGATGTGTAAGTGGCCAAGATGGGCTTAAAGAACTTGGCCACGAGGGATCACCTATGTTGATGGTGATTACGACTCTTTCACCTCCAAATCACCTTCTCCCAAAGCCATTTTTAAAAAGAAAGCCAAGTGACATGTGGAGACCTTTACCCATATTTACATATGCCACCTCCCACAGCAGGCATGGGCAAACGTCGGCCCTCCAGGTGTTTTGGACTTCAACTCCCAGCCTATGAGCTGTTAGGAATTGTGGGAGTTGAAGTCCAAAACACCTGGAGGGCCTAAGTTTGCCCATGCCTGTCCTACAGCCCTAACTCTGTAAGAAAGGGAGTTCAGGGGATTTTGCAGTTGGAGGCTTCAACAAATGTGCATTAACAACAACAACAACATCACACACACATATATAATCCTCAATCCACCCCTGCAGCCAGGAAAGAATAGGCCCAGTTTCTTCTTCCTTTCAGCCACTCTCTCTTGTCCCAAAAAGGGAGGGAACCATTCTGCAGACTTCAAAGGACTTTCCCTCCCTGATTATTGCCAGACCAGTTACTAAGCTTCCAACTCCTCTCTCCCTGGGCTGCTCTGAGTTTTCTGGGCTGTTTGGCCACGTTGCAAAAGCATTATTTCCTGACATTTTGCCCACATCTATGTCAGGCATCCTCAGAGGTTGTGAGGTCTGTTGGAAGCTAGGCAAGTGAGCTTTATATAGCTGTGTAATATCCAGGGTGGAAGGAAGAACTCTTGTCTGTTTGGGGCAAGTGTGAATGTTGAAGTAGGTCACCTTCATTAGCTTTGAACAGCTAATCAAATGCAGGTGAAACATCAGGAGAGAATGCATCTGGAACATTGCAATACAGCCTGGAAAACTTACAGCAACCTGGTGATTCTGGCCATGAAAGCTTTTGACAACACACCCTCTCTCCCTATCTCTTTCTCCCCCCCCTCTCTCCCCCCCCCAATAGAATTATAGAGTTGGGAGACCTTGTGGGCCATCCAGCCCAACCCTCTGCCGAGAAGCAGGAAAATTGCATTCAAAGCACCCCCGACAGATGGCCATTCAGCCTCTGCTTAAAAGCCTCCAAAGAAGGAGCTTCCACCAATCTCCAAGGCAGAGAGTTCTACTGCTGAACTGCTCTCACAGTCAGGAAGTTCTTCCTTATGTTCAAGTGGGATCTCCTTTCCTGCAATTTGAAGCAATCGTTCTGCATCCTAGTCACCAGGGCAGCAGAAAACAAACTTGCTCCCTCCTCTCTGTGACTTCCCCTCACATATTTACACATGGCCATCATGTCTCATCTCAGCCTTCTCTTCTATTTAAGCCACTCTTCATAGGGCTTGTTCTCCAGACCCTTGATCATTTTAGTCACCCTCCTCTGGACACATTCCAGCCTGTCAACATCTCCTTTAAACTGTGATGCCCACAACTGGCCACAGAGTGATTCCTGGTGTGGTCTGACCAAGGCAGAATAGAGAGGCAGCATGACTTCCCTGGATCTGCACACATACAGGCCAAAATCCCATTGGCTTCTTTAGCTGCTGCATGACATTGTTGGCTCATGTTTAACCTGTTGCCCATGAGGACTCCAAGATCTTTTTCACAGGTACCCCCCCCCCCCCCCCACTTTCCCTCCCTTCCTCTCACCAATACAGATTGGAGCCTTAAACCCTTGTGCTGGCAGGACTGAAGACCTATAATAATAATAATGGCCGAAAGCGAGGAGGAGCTGAGGAGCCTTCTAATCAAGGTGAAAGAAGAAAGTGCAAAAGCCGAGTTGCAGCTAAACATAAAAAAAAACCAAGATTATGGCAACAAGAATGATTGACAACTGGAAAATAGAGGGAGAAAATGTGGAGGCCGTGACAGACTTTGTATTTCTAGGTGCAAAGATTACTGCAGATGCAGACTGTAGCCAGGGAATCAGAAGACGCTTACTTCTTGGGAGGAGAGCAATGTCCAGTCTCGATAAAATAGTGAAGAGTAGAGACATCAGACTGGCAACAAAGATCCGCCTAGTCAAAGCCATGGTATTCCCTGTAGTAACCTACGGATGTGAGAGCTGGACCTTAGGGAAGGCTGAGCAAAGGAAGATAGATGCTTTTGAGCTGTGGTGTTGGAGGAAAGTTCTGAGAGTGCCTTGGACTGCGAGAAGATCCAACCAGTCCATCCTCCAGGAAATAAAGCCCGACTGCTCATTGGAGGGAAGGATACTAGAGACAAAGTTGAAGTACTTTGGCCACATCATGAGGAGACAGGAAAGCCTAGAGAAGACAATTATGCTGGGGAAAGTGGAAGGTAAAAGGAAGAGGGGCCGACCAAGGGCAAGATGGATGTCATCCTTGAAGTGACTGGACTGACCTTGAAGGAGCTGGGGGTGGTGACGGCCGACAGGGAGCTCTGGCGTGGGCTGGTCCATGAGGTCACGAAGAGTCGGAGATGACTGAACGAATGAACAACAACAATAGTAATAATAATACCTTTATTTATACCCCGCTAACATCTCCCGAAGGACTTGGTGCGGCTTATACAGGTTGCAGGTTTGAATCCGTGCAGAGAGCGGATGAGCTCCCTCTGTCAGCTCCAGCTCCCCATGAGGGGACATGAGAGAAGCCTCCTACAAGGATGGTAAAACATCAAAATATCCGTGTGTCCCCTGGGCAACGTCCTTGCATATGGCCAATTCTCTAACACCAGAAGCAAAGTTTCTCAAGTTGCTCCTAGAATCATAGAATCCTAGAGCTGGAAGAGACCTCATGGGCCATCCAGTCCAACCCCCTGCCAAGAAGCAGAAAAATTGCATTCAAACCATCCCTGACAGATGGCCATCCAGCCTCTGTTTAAAAGCTTCCAAAGAAGGAGCCTCCACCACACTCTGGGGCAGAGAGTTCCACTGTTGAACAGCTCTCACAGTTCTTCCTAATGTTCAGATAGAATCTCCTTTCTTGAAGTTTGAAGCCACGACACGGAAAGAAAAAAAACGGGGGGGGGGGGGGGGAGACCTAGCAATTAAATGGGACAGGGAAACGCACCGCATTTTCCCACTTTAACAAAGAGGGTTTGAATTTAATTAGCAAAAAAGTAAAGAAAAACCAGACCCCGGTGGGGGAAATCCCTCCCCGAACCGCGACCGCTTCGGCCACTGCCTTGACCAGGAGAGCGGGAAGGCATCGCCCCTTTAAGTGACTCAGGAAGTGAAAACACAAAACACAGAAACAGCAAGAAAGGAAAGCGAAGGTGCAGGTCCTCCTGGCCTGTGTTTCGGAAGTGAAAGGCAGGCATTGGGGGTGGGAGGGGGGGAGAGATTGTGAAGGAGAGGGGTGCTAGAGGTCAGCCCACGTTCTCAGAAGGAGGTCCAGGAGAAAAGAAAAGAGGGGTTGTGAGTGAGAGAGGAAGAAGAGCAGAGCAAGAGCAAGGAAAGTCCCGCCTGGAGGGGGAATACAGGCAGAGAAAGAAGGATCGCCAAGTCAGCAGAGGCCACTTTGGTGCTTGGCCTGGGAGTTGGCGGGGGTCATGGCCGGGCTGGAGGGAGGCCCCGAAGGCGAGCCCCGGGCCCCCGGGCTGAAGAAGTGCGAGGCCCACGGGCAGGAGCTGGCCCTCTACTGCCAGGAGCACCGGGAGATGGTCTGCGTGGTCTGCGCCCTGGCCGGGCCCCACCGCCAGCACCGCCTCCTCACCCTCGGCGAGGCCTACCGCGCCCTCCGGGTAAGGCAGCGGCACAGAAGGAGGCCGCACCACACTTGGGCCCAAGGCTCCAGCCGCCAGGCAGCCCTGGCTCTCGCATTCCTCTCCCTAAAAAGCAGGGCTGGAAAGGCTTTCTGGAACAACAACTCCAGAACCACATAGAAGGATCAGAGCCTAACAGGTTAGAGAGATGATTGACCAAAGCTAACAAAATGAAGTTCAATAGGGACAAATGCAAGATACTCCACTTAGGCCAGTTCCTCGTGTTGTGGTAGGAGCCCCCGGTGGCACAGTGGGTTAAACCACTGAGCTGCTGAGCTTGTTGACCAAAAGGTTCCGGGGAGCAGAGCGAGCTTCCGCTGTCAGCCACAGCTTCTGCCAACCTAGCAGTTCAAAAACATGCAAATGTGAGTAGATCAATAAGTACCGGTGCTCCTTACAGCGAGAGGTCAACCCTCCTGTTTAAGGAGCTCCATTGGCTGCCGTTTACCTACCGAACCCAATTCAAGGTGCAGGTGCTTACCTACAAAGCCCTAAACGGTTTGGGACCTGCCTACCTGCGTGACCGCATCTCCGTTTATGAACCCACGTGCTCCCGTCGTTCATCCGGAGAGGCCCTGCTCGCGATCCCACCTGCGTCGCAGGCGCATTTGGTGGCGACGAGGGACAGGGCCTTCTCTGTGGTTGCCCCCCGACTTTGGAACACCCTCCCCAAAGACATTAGACAAGCACCCACGTTGGCAGTCTTTAGGAAGAACTTGAAGACCTGACTATTCCAATGTGCCTTTCCAGAATAGGATAACCCCCAGCACTATGTCCCAGAAGCACTTTATTAGAGTTTAGGACTCTGCACATTGCACTTGCCCAGAATCCCAACATACCTCCTGTCACAACCAGCACTTTTTAACCTGTACCCATCACTGGCCCGGCCCTGGTTTTTATTGCGTAATGGTGCAATGTTTTGTTACTGCTTATGTTTTTAATTTACTTTGTATTGTATTGTTATTGTTTGCTGTTGTTGTGTTAAGGCCTTGGCCTTTGTAAGCCACATCGAGTCCCTTTGGGAGATGCTAGCGGGGTACAAATAAAGTTTAATAATAATAATAATAATAATAATACCACTCCAGCGGGAAGGTAACAGCGCTCCATGCAGTCATGCCGGCCACATGACCTTGGAGGTGTCTATGGATAACGCCGGCTCTTCGGCTTAGACATGGAGATGAGCACCACACCCCAGAGTCGGACACGACTGGACTTCATGTCAGGGGAAAACATTATTATTATTATTATTATTATTATTATTATTATTATTATTACTATTGGCTCCTGACCCCAGTCAAGCTGGCACCAAGCAGCTCAAGAAGGCTACTATCAGCTTCTAACTCTAGCAGACATGACACCATGAGAGAAGAAAGCCCTCAGGGGGTATCCTCTCGCCTGCATCCCAACAGAAACAACAATAATGCATTTCATTGGAGTCCCCGATGGCACAGTGGGTTAAACCCCTGTGCTGGTAGGACTGAAGACCGACAGGTGGCAGGTTCGAATCTGGGGAGAGGCGGATGAGCTCCCTTTATCAACTCCAACTCCTCATGCAGGGACATGAGAGAAGCCTCCCACAAGGATGATAAAAACATAAAATCATCCGGGCGTCCCCTGGGCAACGTCCTTGCAGACAGCCAATTCTCTCACACCAGAAGCGACTTACAGTTTCTCAAGTCGCTCCTGACACGACAAAAAATAAATAGATTGGCTACCTGCCTCTCCTCGGGGCTCAAGTCAGGGTACAATATCATTTAAAATACATTGATAAAGCATATAATTTGTACTGTATCCAGGCCTAGGCAAACAACTGTCCTGTTGTTTTCAAAGAAATGCTTTCATCTTTATTTTACACACACAGTAGGCCCTTGGTATCTGTTGAGGTTTGGATCCGGGTTTTAAGTGAACAGAAATTCCTCTATACAAACCAAGAAATGACAAGTTTTGCAGTTTGGAAAATACTCCTCCCACTTTCTCATTGACCATACTGTGCTACCAATTGCTAACGCATACACTTGAAGGTAGGCAAGCTACTAAGAATGTATATGGACTAATAACATTTGTGGTTTGATTTACAAAGCTCCACATAATTATATTAAGTGAACAAAGGTGATAACTGAAAAATTCTCCATAATGTGTGGAGCTGCATAGGTGATTGAGGAGGAGAATTGATAATTGGCACAATGACTGGAACAATCTGATTGTATCCCAGAATTGATTTATAATAACTGCAGCCAAATTCTGCCATGATTAAAATTTATGAGCTCTATTGGGTAGGGAGGATGATGGATAAAGATAGCTTCAGCGATATATTGGCTTCACCTAACCTGTGATTTATGCATATTGCTGAATAAAAAAGGATCAGCACTGGCTGCACTGGATTGCCTTCTCTATCTTAATACTAACTGTCTGTCTGTTGCTACCATGAGTGATAGATATCCCAGGAATGGTGGTCCAAAAGATCTGGAGGACAACAAGTTGAATAATGCTAATTATAGGATTTCTTGTGTGGAAATCCTATAATTAGCATTATAGGATTTCAGAAGTGTAATTGATAGTGATGCTGCAGTTTATTGCCCTGCTCTTCTGCATTTGCAGTTTTCTGTTTGTAAGCAGGAAACATATTGCCAGCAACCCAATATTTGTTTGCAGGTGGAAAATGAAGGCCAGTCTTGCCGTTGTTTGCTTTCACAGTTCTATATCTTTTGCAAACTAAGGCATAGCTGATAGGTTTAATTTTAGGTTTTCCCTCAAGTGTGAGTAGTTTGTTTTGGGGAAGTTCCTAGAAAACATAGCTGTAGGAGTTGTTTCAGTGATAGTGTTAACTTCCTTAGTTACCAGGCTATTTTGCAGAAGGGGTGTTCTGCAGAGTTGCAGCTTCCACTGAGAAATAGAGTCTTCATAATGGTTACTTTCTTGTTTTTTTCCTTGCATGTTCTTTGTGCATGACTTTCTATTCATTTTTGGTTTCTTTTCCATGCTAGAGGAATCAAATCTTATACAGAGTTTTTTTTTTCCTGTTTCAGTATTACTGTTGCTTGTTTCAAATGTTTTATTCAACCCAGCAGATTTATTTAAAATTTATGTATGAAAAATTGATATTCAGAGATGTGAATCTTGATAGAATTGATACCTTTGACACACAGAACTGTATAAACATAGTATTGGAAGAGGCCACAAGGGCCATTTAGTCCAACCTTATTTTGCTATGCAGGAAAACACAACCAAATCACTCCCTTTAATTTAAAACTAGCTTGGGGACTCAAAAGTGCCTGGGTTATTCGAAAAAGGCATTGTTTGTTTGGGATATTAGGTAATATTGGGTAATCTGTAGCTCTGTTTCTTAGAAAAAAGTCAGTCCTGTTGTTTTTTTATGAATGCTCCCATAAGAAAATGCATAAGGATTTGGGTGAACTGGAATTGCCAAAATTGTAGGGTAATCACCCCTAACCCCACCAGTATTCAAAGTTTGCCATGTTGGATCTGTGTGCCAAGTTTGGTCCAGATCCGGCATTGGCTGGGCTCAGTGCTCTCTGGATAAGAGTGAACTACAACTCTCAGGTCCAAAGTTATTCACCTCCAAACCAGGCCAGTATGCACAGTTGACCATATAGCATCTGTGTGACATGCCAAGTTTGGTCTATATCTGACATCAGCTGGGTTCAGTGCTTTCTGGATGGAGGTGAACTACAACTCTCAAAACCAAGGTCAATTCCCACAAACCCCTCAGTATGTTCAGGTGGTCATGGAATTTCTCTGTGCCAAGTGTGGTCCTGGTGCATTGTCGGTGGGGGTCGCAGTTTCTCTGGATGCAGGTGAACTACAATTCCCAAAATCAAGGTCCATTCCCACAAACAAAAGCTGTCTGTGTAAGTGGACACCACCACCACATACATACATACATACATACATACATACATACATACATACACATTTTCACTTTTATTATGTGTATAGATAATTAGATAAATAGATAGATAGATAGATAGATAGATAGATAGATAGATAGATAGATAGATAGATAGATATTATGTGTATAGATAGATAAGGAAATTCCATCACACTTTAAGGCAGCATATTCAATTGTCGAACATCTCTTAGTTCTTTTAATGTTTATGTAGAATCATGTTTCCTATATTTTAAATCAATTCATTTGTCTCCTACTCTCTGGAGCAGCAGAAAACAAGCTTGCTTCATCTTTGATAGCCTGACGTAGCTCATACTATCCTTGTGGGGAGAAGGGCGGGGTAGAAATATATGAAATAAATAAATAATAAAAATTTTCATAGCGTTGGTAAATTCCTCTCCAAATGCACTGAGGCTACAACTGGGCGGAATATCCTTGACCTCTTGGGGAGTTTCAGTAATATTGACTATAAAATTGTCCCGGTCAATGGATTTGTTATACTATACATTGTGCAACAGTCGCTGAGCTTCTACCTGCTGAGTTGCTGCCAGAGAATAGCATTTGGAGATTTATTTATTGCAGTACATATACAGAGGTCTTCTCAGCTCCATAATAGTTGTGCTTTGAGATCTACAGGGTATAATCCATCTGTGTGGAGTAACTAAGATGATCCATCTGAGGTTGAGGAGTGCAGTTTTTCCACTCTGAAGATGATGTTCAGTTCTGTGTCTCCATTCCATCTGAAGGGAAGCTGGTTCCTGAGAATTAGACAGATACTTGCCTTTTAATGTAAAAGTCAGAGTTTGAATTCGCTTTTGGCCATGGAGAGCCACTGGATGACCATGGGCAAGATACACTTACTCGACCTCAGAGTGTAAGGATAATCTTAACAAGAAATCTTGTGATAAGATTACCAGCAGTCAGAAATGACTTGAATACACATGGAAACAATGCCAAAATCTTTTAAGGTTCCATATGACTCTTTCTTACTAAAATGTTATTTTCCCCTTGCAATCTGAAGTGATGCAGTTAATTTTACAACCTTAATTTCTGTTTCTTTTCTATGCTTCATAAAATGTACTTGTCATGCAACACTTAGATAATACGGGCAGTATTCCACAAGTCTGGAAATACATTTGGAACATCTTGTCTGAGTGCTATATGTAACTAATTCTAAATTGTCATGATCTGGGAGTGGAGCACAAGTTCACAAGTTTGGCTGGAAGCCAGTTGTGCATATTATTTAGGCAAGGCTTCTCATATTTGCAGATGCAAGAAAAAGCTGCTGGCATACAAGTCTGCCAGCCTAGATATGTCTGTTGTACACTTACATGACCATTTACTTTTCAGGTGACTGGGCAAGAGTTTCCCTTTCCCTCAAAGCCCAATAGACTATTTGACTTATGCTTTTATTATGCAAACAGAGCCAGAGTTAGGTGAATTATGGATTGGATGGGTGAGAGTATGTACACAAGGCCATCTTAAAAGCAAAGCTTTCTTAAACAGCTTTTCCCTCTTGTAAATTGAAGTTCCTGTTAATTTGTATTTTATATTTCGGTGCATTCAGTCTGCCCTAAATGTGTTTGTGTGTGTGGCAACCAGCAATGAGCTTTTAGTAATTGAGCTTTTTGATTGTATGTACATATTTATTGCATATGCACTGACTTGCTTTACAGTTTAAATTTATAGGTTTCATGACTTCTCTGTACTCTGCTTGAGTTACTTAATCAAGATGCCTTTAAAGAAAAACAGAGATGTACCAAACCTCATGCTGGTAAGAAGCTTTCTCCATGAGAGCTTCAACAGAATTGGCCTGCTTTATCCCCAAGGGTTCATCTGTGGGACCCATCACAAATGCAAAAAACATGGACAATTACACCTCATATTATATGGTGGTGACATGAATGAACGTGCTTCAGTGTTTCTGCATTCATGTTGCTGCCATATTTACTGATTGGAAGAGACCATTGAACTCCTTCTTACTCAGTCTCTGAGGCTTGCAGTATTTTATTGCTGTCTTTAGAAATCTTTAGGGTATATAACTCCCACTTGGCAGGGATTGGCTTCACCCCAGTCTTGGGAAGGGTAAAAGCTATTACCATGACCAAAAACAAGAACACCGTCTTGAACTAAGAGAATAATATAACATTCAGCAATGCAGACCCAGTCTGTGTGAACTTTTGGCCAAAAGGACAAAATAACATTTTCTTTTGTTTATATTTTCTGCTTTTGTTTACTTTACCCATCTATTTGCCACTAACTTACCTGATTTTTACTCCCACTGACTTGGTCTTCAGTGTATCCTTGAACATAAATCGAGCGGGATAAGGGAGGCTCAGTCCCTCCAGATCAATACAGCTTTCTGTTGTTATCCTCTGGTGTGGAAGAGAACATTACTTGAAGTGCTTCACAGGCATAATCTCTGTAATCTTGCAATAGCTGTGTAAGCAAGAGCAACATTATAACTGCATGAGAAACAAAAATTCTAAAACTTGATAGCTACTTGTCTAAGGTCCCTTGTACACTGCCATATAATCCAGATTATCAAAGCAGACAATCTGCATTATGTGCTTTGAACTGGATAATATGAGTCTACACTGCCATATAATCCAGTTGAAAGCAGATAATCTGAATTTTATATGGCAGTGTAGAAGGGACTTAAATCCTACTTATCTAAGTATGAGATAAGATTTTGAGCAAAGACTTTTCAGTTTGTATCCTAACAGTTTTACTCAAAGTTCAGTCTACTCTGCAGGAAACTACATAAATGTGAATTGTCTACCATCACATCAGATAACTGAAGAAAAACTGTTCTCATTTAATACTTACAGCTAGTAAGCTTGTTTGGGATGCTCACTTTTTTGGTCTAGGAATGAACTAATGTTGTTGGGTACCTTTAAGTAGCTTCTAACTTATGGTGACAGTAAGATGAATCCATTATGGGTTTTTTTGGGGGCTGCGGGCATGTGTTTCACCCAAGACTTCCATGGTCAAGCAGGGAATCAAAACCTAGTCTCCAAATTGGTAATCCAACAATCAAAACCTAGTCTCCAGATTGGTAATCCGACATTCAAACCACTACACTGCGTCAGATCTTTCTCATGTCAGCTCTTTCTCATGTATTCTGTTTCTATGACTGAGTCTTTCCATATGTCAAATACTTGGGGCCCTTCTACACAGCCATATAACCCAGAATATCAAGGCAGAAAATCCCGCAATATATGCTTTGAATTGGGATATCTGAGTCCACACTGCCATATATTCCAGTTCAAAGCAGATAATCTGGGTTTTTATTCAGCTGTGTAGAAGCTTGTTTTTACTGGCTGTGTATAAGAGAAAGGTTTAATGTTACCACACAAACATAGGACAATAGAAGTGGCTAACATATAAAAGCCTGAAGGTACTGGTTGGAATGGTGATGTGAGAGTTCTTTCTAGAATTTTATTTGAGAATGCTGAGGAGGTATAAAGAAATTGGTGCAACAATAGAAAGTGTAAAGATCAGAGCCAACACATTATGTGGGCTTTGAAACTGCCAAGTGTTTCCTGGAAGTCGCCCAACCTGCTGTGGGTATATAAGTAGTTGATCACTGTCTTTGGTGGCTATTCAGCTTTAATGAAATGGTTACTGTGAAGTGGTGGGATTGGGGTGTGAACAGAGTTCAGTAGTGATGGCTGTCTCTCAGCAGCAACAGAACAATTCACAAACGTGTCTTAACACTACGTATAGTCCAGAATATCTTTCAAGAGGTATTTCTGGACCTTGTAAATACTGTTTTCTTTGGCAAATGCTACAGATGACTTACTGAATCACTCTTCAGTCAGTGAAAAGGAAAAGTACTCTCAAAACCACAGATCTTTCCAAGGAAAACAGGTCAAGAAGACAAAATGCCGTTTCAAGGTTTCCTCCCTCAGATACTTGTTTTACTGTTGTGATCTCTCCTCACACTTTAAATCTGAACTGCAGTTTAGTTCTAAAGAGAGGCTAGTTCAAGCAAAAGAAGCAAATATTCTGGGGACTCCACAGGTTCCTACTGCTTTGTCTTTTGAAGTGTGAACTCTTGATTATTTTGTTAATTAGTTCTTTCCGTCAGCTCCATCGTCCAAATGGGACCAGAAAAGTGCAGGATTAAATTATTGGGCAGCCAATACCAATTACAGAAAATAAATGAAACATGGAAGCAGGTCACCATTGCAGGCATATTCTACATAAGGTCTTTATGCTGAAAGGTACTGAGTCCCACCTTGACAACTATTGAATTTTTGGCTTGAGGAGCAGTGAAGAATGCTGAGCATCCGGCAGGATTTGAGCCTGCAATGAATGATTTGTCCTGTGCAATTGCATTTAATTTTCATTCCAGCAGTTCTCCCACTGCTCTTGGCAGATATATCTTTTCTTCTTGGTTGCTTAACCTCAGTCCCAAAAGAATGAGTGAATGTATTCAGGGCAACTTGGCTAACAGAAAGTGCTGAGAGATGGCTGCTCCTCTTCCACCTCCCTCCAGTTCTCTTATGGAAATCTTCCTTGTATTTGCAGGAGTGACCTTCACCCTTTTTGTCTTTCAGGACAGAGAACCCGTCAACCTGAAAGCGGCCATGCTCGAGATGGTGAGGAGGTTACAGTTCAAGTGTGCAGACCCTAAAGTAAGTTAATAAAAGAAACATGACTGCTGATTTTTCAGCTTTTCATTTTCCTTGAGAAAAATACACTGCTTTTCTAACAACTATCAGCGTATTGCATTGAGATGTAATTTTAAAAGAGCCAGCTTTATATATACCTGGAGATAAGTAGTTTCTTTAGCTTCCTCTGCTCTCTCTTGATCTCTCTTTCTCTCTTTATATAGCTTGAAATAACATAATTAGTATTTGTTTTCCCTAAACAACACACCAGAGTGTCCTTAATATTTCACTATTACTTATTTGTCCAGTGTATGTCTTTCCTTTCTACTCAGAAGCTGATGATTGTGTAAATAAATGAAACTGGTAGATATTCTCATAATTGTTGCTGACTAGAAAATTGGAACTATCTTCAGCCTATCAAATCTATGATGCAATTTGATCCAAACATACTTTTGGGGACCTCCATCTTAAGTTTTAACTACATTTCAGTAGTGCTAATATTGCCCCAGTGACCCTCCTAGTCAAGAGGCAATGCAGTAGTGGGGCCCAGCCTAGCCATTGTGCTTGAGATGTTGAGGTTACTTTGCCAAGTCCAACTTTTTTATCTGCTTACACTGTACTGGATTATTTTCCTTGAAGGTCTAAGCTGTTTTGTGAGATGTGATTCATCAATCCATCTGTAGAGGTTATGGGTGGTACACTAAAACTACCTTATGTTACATAAAACTATAGATGTATGTTTGCACAAGTCTATAAGGACACAATACCAGAGAACTTCTGGACAAGGTGTCTCTGTGTTTGTGGATCTTCACATTTTGTTAAATGTGAAGCATTCTCAAGTACAGGAGATAAGTGAGGATGGCGGAATTATTGATGCAGGGTTAGCAAATCCACTCTAGATTTTAAGACTGCTTCTCTTACAGCTGTTCCACATTTTATGGGAGCTTTTTCATCCTGCTTATTGTTTCTTCTGAGGTTTGGCACTGAGGGAACTCCTGTACAATTCAGAGCATTGTAAATTCAAAAGTGGATTTCCTTCTCCCTTGGCAGCAGCTCTACAAGTCCCCTTTGGTGCTAGAGCAACCCATGGGTGCCTGGTTGACCCTCTTTCTGTTCTTATTTTTACTGACAGACAACAACCTTTTAATTTAAATGGCCCTTCAGCTTTTGTTAGCAGTGGTAGGGAGATCTTTTAATTGAGTCTTTATATTTGTTATGCTTGGAATGTGGTTTTAATTGGTTAAATATAGTTTGACTTTTGTGAGTGTGCTTAAAATGTTCCCTCCAGGAATCTCTTGGTCCTCCAGTGTAAGTCTAGTTAACTTCTGCTGGAAATGGACCATAGAGTCGCCTGGAAGATCTAGAAGTTTCTAGAAAGAAGAACTCATTGGATGTGTTTTTTGGAATATAATTTTGCTCTGCATGTATCGACACTGGATTTAATAACTTATTTCAAGATTTCCTAGTTACCACATATTTGTTCTTGGAAAAATAAGTTGCATTCTTTGGCAGTATATTTCTGCTTCTGTAGAATAATTTCTGTTGTCAAGTTTTGTTGTATTGTTGCATATTTATTCCATTAAGTCATTGGTAAATATTTACATTTATTTATTTATCGACAGTACAGAAGAGTTATGTCTTAAGGATTGAAAAAAGCTGTGGAGTTGTCCTGGGACCATGACATTGCAGTAAGGGGGGATGAAAAAGGGTAAACCTCCCTCTGCATGTTCTGATTTCTTAGTTTAAATAAACCAAAAATACCACACCTCATGGTATTCTCTTTCTGGGGAAAACCTCAAGGACTGGTGAAGACTGAACATGTCCACCAGACATAGAATACTGAGGGACTGTTGAATGAATAAAATTTGAGAATGCAATTTCAGGAGTTCTGAAAAGGAGCACTTTACATTGCAGCATTTTGTCATAGGCCCTATGTATCTAGGTGAGAATATATGTGCCAGTATCCCTTGGTTCCATGACTTATTTTGGTTTTTGAATTATTTATTGGCATCATAATGCTATATGTCCCAACTTAATTGTTTAGTAGTTGTGAGACCTATTCCTAGATAAGTGGTATAGAATTGCATGAGTGGATAACTTAAACACTTGAATGCATAGTTCTTTACCAGTCTACATTCTTCAGAATCTGCTATGTGTTCAGTGTTTATGAAATGTGTGTGGGGAGTGTCAGTATGAATCCAGCATACATTATTCTAGTGTTGTGATATGAACTCTTTGTTGAGTAAAGCCAACTTGAGAAATGCTGTCGTCAGGGTCAAGAGAATGGTAATCATGTAATGCAGTATTGGGGAATATAATAAAAAGACTTATGGTTTATACTTTGAACTGTGTTTAGCATCTGTACAGAATTAATAAATGTAAGTTGCTTTGCTCGGCAAGCCAACTGATTAAAAGTCCTTTGACTCATCAGTAAAAGAATAAGACAGGTAATCTATGACTATAATACTTCTGTTTAATGTAGTCATTACATTAAGGCAGGTATTATTTGAGGAGTATTGACTGACAGGACAGTTGTGGAGGGAGGAAGCCCCTGTTAAGTTTATAGACTTTTAAAATATATATATCATCAAGCCTTTTCTTTAAAAGAACACATAAGAAATATCTAATCCATTTTATACAATTTATAAAGAGAAGAAAATCAATCCATGTGAAACCACACATTACTTTTGTACATGATGCAAAAGCAGAAATACTCAAGTAAAGGAGACTGTCTCTTGATGAGCAATTTTGTGTTCCAAAGAGGCACAGATTTTCTCAGGCAACTTCTGCTTTCTTCGGTATGTTCTGTGGTCTCATGCTGCAGTTTTGTCTGTGGAAACTATATTTTGCTCTGTCTAACGCTGGCCGAGAATCCCTGGATTATGACATTTTTAATATTTCTCAACGAAACAACTATGAGAGATGAGTATTGCCTTGCTATTTCTTTCAGCTCTGTTTTGGAAATAAAAGAAGGCAATACACCCTTGACTTGTCTGCCAAATACAGAAATCATCACCACAGGCTGCAGACTCTTTCAGCATTTAATTCCATTTTGCACATTTCATGTTAAATAACATCTGTCTTGGACCATCTTTAAAATTATTATCTTCTAAGTGTAGAGGAGGACAACTTTGGCAGCTTCAGAGACTAATCCTCACCCTACCCCCTTTAGCTGTGGCCGGCACTAGTATCTCCTGCCAAAACCCGACATAGCTGGATGTCCACTTACAGTTTGCTTTTTAAATCTTCTCTTTAAAAAGAAAACCACGCTTCTTGAAAAGACTGCCAAGAACACCATTCGCTGTGATTGGAGGGTTTCTCTCTTATGTTCTGGGAGCTGCAAAAATGGATGGGGGAATTTGCATATGGCCAACACTGGATTAAATAAATTGATTTAGTTAAATATTATTTAACATATTGTCTTCAAAATACTCCTATTTAACTTCCATAATAACTTATGTCTCCTTCCTAGGCAATTTCACATATTCCCTATTCAAATTCTTGCACTGCTCACTGACCAAAGGCTTGGTCACACAGCCATGTCTTCTCTCTCTTTCTGAAGGCCAAGAGGGAGAACGCTGATCTAATTTCACTGGGGAGGGAGTTCTACAGCCGAGAGAAGACTCTGTCTCTCGTCCCCACCAATTGCACCTGTACAGGAGATGGGATTGAGAGCAGAACCTCCTCAAAAGATCTTAACTGAGAGTAAGGCCTCCCCAAAAGATCTTAAGCATTCGGAAAAGCCTTCACATGAGCCACATTGTTCTCAGTTCTTGTAGTTGAGGAATGGTGTTCCAGAAACCTCCACATTTTTCGCCCGTAACAAGACACAAAAACTAGTATGCACTTTGCTAATGTACTGAATGCTAGAAAGGAGCAGACCAAACTGTATGCCTGGGTTTCTCCTCAACTGTCACTTTCCTTTCTCGTCCCTTTTTCACACAAAACAAATCATTCTCATTACTTTTGGGACATATATTGAGGGGTAATGCAAAACACAGCAAAGCCCACAAAAGACATTTATTGGCACAATAGATTTTCTGCATTTTGGTTGCCCAATAAAAGTATCGTTCTTTTGAGTATTTATTTATAAATCTCACTTTGTGCGCTATTTCACAATTACCATAATTTCCCCACATTTATAAAAATCTTCTGTTTCTATGGAGACAAAACAATTGTCTTTTCCTCCAAAAAATTATAATAGAATAATTTCTAAAGTAATAATTATTGTTACGCAATTGGTAGAATTGGTTTGGGGAGGGGGGATCCCTACAGAAAGAGTTAGAATATCAGTGATATTAGGTTTAAGCAAAAACAACTTCTTTTTATTACTTTTTTCATCACTATATTAACTTTAAAAACCTCTTCTACACAATGTATTTCCAAGGTTTCTCTGAGTATACAGGAATCTTAATAGAAAAGTATATATTAGAGAGAAGTATATGTGGACTGAAGCCAAACTTCATATGTAGAATTATCTGACTCTTCACTAAATTCACCTACAACACAATATTTTTAAGATTTTTCTATTTAGCCTACACTAAGATACTTCACTATCTTGATTTTTTTCAGTTCTTTCAGAGGTGCAATTGGATCAATTGTGGTGACATTACAATATCATTAGCCGATATCAACCATTTAAATTATTTATCTTCCATTTTATTTTGCACATTTCACCAGCTATAACACCTTTTATATTTTCTGATTCTATTATTTACTGTTCTGGAGATAACATGCTTAATGCAGACAGGACAAGGGAAAAGGGATATATATATTTAGTACTTTTTACCAGTTTAATAAGTGTTTAGCATTCATGATTAGTCTGATTACAGGCTTGCTGATTTCCCCCCCTCCTTTTCAAGAAACCTACAATACTGAACATATTCATATCCCGATAAATGAATAAAAAACAACACAGCACATTGATGCAGTGATTATAATGTCCAACAGAAATAAGATGTTTAAAATTATCAATCCACATTTCTTTTGCTACAGTGCTTTCAATGTTCTAGAGAGGAAAATTA